ATATAAAGTTATTAATGAAGAAAACCCGTCTGGATAACAGCAGACTGACAGCTGGTAAAATATACAACAGGTCTGGACCACTTGATCTGAAAAAAATCTTAGAATACAAAAACATTGGTGAATGCCACAAATTCTCCTAAATCACTCGTACGCACAACTTAAGAACAAATCTGTGCGTACCAACGGTTTTTGCATGAGGCCCATTGTTCTGGCATTTTTGACCTCACTCTCCAGATTATGAATGTGTTGGGTGGACAGTGAAATAAAGTTCATTCTCTCAGTTTATGTTATCAGTGTATTTGAAATAAATTACTACACCAATTGGGGGGGCATCAAGACTTCCATGGCCCTGGGTACTGAGTTCCACTTTCCCCCACACTTCCATGCCCATGTCTGTGGGGTCGTTTAGGATGAATAAACAGAATAAGTGTTCAGTTTGTTGTCAACACACAGTATTTACATCATTAACTGAACAGAAGCTGGTGCTTTAGTTTACATTAAAGCTTTATCGATGATTTGCAGTTAAGGCATCTCATTTTTTTATCTTCTTTGTGTGGCAGAATTTCCGAGAGATGATTCCGCTTCTTGGAATTTTTCGAATCCTCATCATAGTACTTATTGGTGGGTTGTGTTTTTGTGTTTTCACTTCTTGTACTATGGTTTGTTTTCGGCACATTTTGCTGTGATTTTAACTGAGATGTCTGTTTCCAGTCGGCGCAGATTTTGGGTTTGCCTTTTACAGAAGATTCATCCAACATGCAGAGGGTTTACAGGTAAGACGTTGCATCAACGGCAGAGAAAACAAAGACAACTTGTAGTTTAAGCCTCAAACACAAACGGGCTAATCTACGCAGAGTATGAAGTATTTCTTTGTGGTGGGTGAGTGCAGCTTGCTGATACACGTCTCGTGTTCCAACCCAGTGAAAACTGTTTTCCTCACTCATGTCTTTTTGAATGTAAATAAGCTTCAGTTTCATTTGAAATGAAATGACATCCTCATAAAAACTTAGTTTCCTGTCTGCTCTCCAACCTGATGACTGCCCACCTTTTATTTTTGTTCAACTGGTCTTACGGGTTTTCTGAGTCATATGAGCTAATTGAAAACCAGTTTCCAGTTTGGAGTTTTGATTCTGAAACTTGTTTTTTTCTTATGCAGGTGTCGTTTGTGGCTCATTTCGGTGGAATCATCGCCGGGATGACTGTAGGCTACGTCTTCTTCAGTGCTTACAACAGTAAGCTCTTAAAAGACCCTCGCTTTTGGATTTGTATAGTGGGCTACATTGTTTTTGTTCTCTTTGCTGTGTTCTTCAACATCTTCATCTCTCCAGCACCAACAGGACCATAAAAAAACCGATCTTACAGATCCATCGTGTCACTCAGGAGTTTAACATGTTAATKTAACACAAGCTTGGTGATAAATTCACTGGGATGTGTGAAGCCACCAGCTGTTTTTTTAGGTCATTTTATGGAACAGATGTACAAAATTTAAACTTTTTGCAACACACACAC